CTCCTCTTCCTCCTCCTCCTCCTCCTCCTCCTCCTCCTCCTCCTCCTCTTCCTTCTCCTCCTCCTCATACTCACTCCTCCTGCTCCTCCTGCTCCTGCTCCTCCTCCTCCTCCTCCTCCTCCTCAAGCCCGTCCCCGGGGAACTGGCCGACCGACCTCTGGGGCGGCTGGAAGAAAAATCATGGCGCAGTATGGACACTGGCTCCGGATCCACGGTGCTGTGGGCAATGCCGCAAGCAGGGCAAACAACATTCCGCCCTACTTGTCAGGCTCCTCTGATGCCAATCAATGCCCCACTTTGCCGTCATTGCTTCCGCCATACTCTTGCGGAAGCCCCCGCCCTATTTCTCTGGGGCAGGAATATCCGATCTACTGCTTCGCAACGTTTTGGGTGCATTTCCGAAACAATGTCAAATTGGAACATCAATCAACAAACTGCAATTCTGGAGTCAGGGGTGTCACGGGGTATGCCCCTCCCCCTCTCCTTACGCCTGGTCCAAGGAAAGGCCCCTGGTCGTCGTCGAGGTCGTCGTCGTCGTCGTCGTCGCCGTCGCCGTCGTAGTCGTAGTCGTAGTCGTAGTCGTAATCGTCGTCACCGTCGTCGTCATCGTCGTCATCGTCGCCGCCACCGCCGCTGTCGTTGAACTTGTCGAGTCCAGCTCGTCGTCGTCGTCGTCGTCGTCGTCGTCGTCGTCGTCGTCGTCGTCGTCGTCGTCGTCGTCGTCGTCGTCGTCGTCGCCGCGACCACCCTCCCTGGTAAAGCTTCGGGCTGCGCCAAGGCAGCCTCCCCAAGAAATCACAACTGGCGTCACCAGGCGCCCCGAGTAGCCGCACCCGGCCTTGACAGCCCCCCCGAGATAGCCCAGGAAGCCCCGAAAGGCTCCCAAGAGGCTCCCAAGAGGCCCCCCAGAGGCTCACAGGAGACCCCTAAACTGTCCCCCAGACCCGAGACGCCCCCGAGAGCGCTTCAAAGAGGCTCCGAGAAGCAGTCACAAGGACTCCGACCCACGTCAGCGTCGTCGGCGTCGCTGCCGCCGCCGTTGCCGTCGTTCCCCTCCCGGGTCGGCGGCGCTGGCCGTAAGGCCTTCGCAGCAGTTTGGGGCATCCTCCGCACCACGTCGCCGCCTCCGGCGGCGCCCCGGGGCGCTCCGCACCCCAGGGTTGGGAAGTTGTGAAGGGGCCCTGGGACACACAAATAAATACATACAGATCAAAGGATCCCCCATATGTTTCCATATTTTCTGGGTTTCTGTCTTCCCCCCACGGCCCATATTTTCCAATATTTTCGGAGGAATCGACGATTAATTGTGTCTGTGTTTTCTTTCCCTCCTGAAGTTGAGACCGCCGCGAACTTCTTGGGGAGCCTGTTGAGGCCAGTCGAGGCTGCATGGTGCAGGGGGGAGGTGTCTGTGCGCAGCCCGAGGCCCCAACTCCAGGGGAGGTCTTCAGAGAGCAGAAAACAGCTTATCCTCCTGAGAAGCACCCCGACAAGCGAAGCCGTTGCTAAAACGCACCCAGGGAAGGGCTCGAACAGGGCTGTTTATGTAGCAAGCGCCCAGGACCGTGGAGCAAACGTCAGTCATCGGGGTCGGGAGGTGCCTTGAGGAGGAGGAGGAGGAGGACGAGGAGGAGGAGGAGGAGGAGGAAGAGGAGGAGGAGGAGTAGGAGGAGGAGGAGGAGGAGGAGGAGGAGGAGGAGGTGCCTTGAGGAGGAGGAGGAGGAGGAGGAGGAGGAGGAGGAGGAGGAGGAGGAGGAGCAGCTCCTCCTCTCAGTCCTGGGAGCCTCTTCCCATGCGATGCCTTTTGCCTTGTTCCGCACGCGGCCCCGAAAACCCCGACCTGTTTTGCACAGGACCGAATCTTCCTCCTGATCCGCTTCTCTCTTGGCTGGTGGAAGCCGGGACAATGGACAATCTAGCAATCCGATCACTGCATTAAACATGTTTTTTGTAAAAAACTGTTTGAAGCATGTTCTAGAACTGTTTGAAACGTGTGCTTTGCCCGCTCAAGACATGCTCAAACTATGTCTTAGCATCTGGAGATTATTTGGCAACACGCTTCTCTGGACGCCCGCAATGGGTACGGACAAAAATGGGTACAATGCCCAACAACAAATGGTGTCCCAGACCAACAGCGGCCGCTGTTGGGCAGGCGGCCTTGTGTCTCGAATGGACACAGGCCGCGGCGGCGCGGACAGCGAGCCCTGTTCAAAATGGACAGGAACTGCTGTTGGGCATTGTATCCATTCTTTCCGTGCCCTTCTCGGGCCCCAGACCCCCGACGTCATGATTTTTTCATGACGTTGACCCCCCGAGGTCTCGACCCATTCCCCGGGACCGGTTTTTCGCCCTGAGTCGTTTTTTGACGGTCCCGAGGGCCGGTAAGGGCC